CTCTTTATATTAATAATTTATTTATTAATATTCATTTTCTCATTATCGTCTCATTTCTATTACTCCTTTTTAGATATATCTTTAAATCTTTATCTATCAAAATATTTTTTTTTTTACACCAATTTTTACCTTTGCTACTTTTCCACTTACGTATACTTAAGCTTTTATTAATTTTTTTGAAACTTTTTCTTTTAGCTTTTTGTCTCATATTTTATTATTATATTTATCTATCTATTCTCCATTCATCATTATTTTTATTTTATATATTAATAATTTGTTTGTTATTAATAATTCTCTTCTTACTCCTATTTCTTTAATATTATCCTTTTTCTTAATCACTTCTTGAATCTTTATTTATTATTATATACTATTTTTACCTTAATTTCTCTATCTCCCTCTTCCCAGTTATATTATAATTGTTATGACTGTCTTGCAAGCTATAAGGCTCTTAGTTTACTATTTTTACAAATTTTTGATAGTTTAGATTTCTAAAAAAGAAAATATCAAAACATTTTAAAGTTCCTCATATAAGCTTTTTTTTCTTCATTTTTAGGTTCTTAAGAAGTGCTGTTACTTACTGCTTAAGTTAAAGTGATTCATTTAGAATTTATTTTATACTTTTAAAATTGATTTTTTAAGTTAATATAACCATTATAAATTTCATACGCATCGATTACATGTACTACAATTTATAATTATTCATAATTTTTGAAATTATAATAATCATTATTTAAAAATACATTTATGTAGAATTTAATAAAAAGAAAAAAAAACTCTTAGATGACAGGGAAGGCCCACATATTTAGGACCCTTCCCAATCCTAGGTTTCGTTTTGTATAATTTTATATAGTTTAAACTACACAAAATATTTGTATGGTAACAACAATAGAAATTAAAAATATTTAGGTGAATCATGCAGCACCTTTTTCTCCGAAATCAATCCATCCTAACTTTCTTTGTTTCAGATCTTGGCACTCCAGTTTGCTCCCTCCAACAAAATTTCTGGCAGAATAATTAGTAATAATAATAATTATTATTACAAATAAAAAACTAAACTTTGTAGTCCCTCTGTCCCAATATAGTTATCTTTTTTTTAAATTAATCAATAATTTAGGGATAATAATTGTATTTATATATAATACTCTTTAAAAGAAGGAAAAATAAAGAGAGACTTTTTGTGATTAGATAATTAATTAAAATGAATATATAATAATAAGAAAATGATTAGTACACCTTTCGGTTCAGTCATTAAAACTTACCTTTGAAAATTTTTTCATCTTGAATTTAAATTTAAAAATATTAGTTTCTTAATAATTGAACCGATGGGTGTTATTAGGTGTATTGAACTAGAAGATGTACCAGTCATTGTCTATAATAATGAGATTAATATAAGAACAAGATATTTGTCTACCTTGATAAATAAAAAAATGATAATTAATTTGGATTTCAAATTTAAAATAAAAAAAACTATACTTATTTTGGGACAAAGAGAGTATATAGACTAAAGAAAAGTTAAGCCAATAAGGTAGTCAAGCTTAGAGCATATATTTAAGAAAATGGTTTAGATAAAAATAAATTTTTTTTCATTTTTTTATTAAAGAATATAAACTTTTTGGGCTTTTAAGTAAGATAGTAAACTTTCACTTTCTCTATTTGTGAATATGAACTTTGTCATATTTCGATTAAGATTGTCATTTATTGCATCATCATCATTAACTAATGAATCCTTAAATAGAAAGAAACACAAAGTTCATATCCTTATTTGAAAAAAAAAAATTAAAAGTTTATTTTCAAATTTAAAAACCTAGAAGTTCATATTTTTAAGTATAAAAAAAAAAAAATCCATATCTTTACCTATACATTTTCACTGTATATCATTGTTCAAATTTACAGAGTGAGGTCAAAGTTGACATCAACTGAATTCTAGCTTCTAGTCTTAGATAAAACGGCAATCGGAGTCCAAATGTGACTTTGATTTCACTAATTAAAAACTTGAGTTTTCTCATTGGATTTTTTAAATTCAAATTTTATAATATATGAAGAGAGACGTAACATTATTTTTTATTATATAATTTATGAGGAGTGCTAGGAGCACTCACCTTCTACACTCTCTGGCTAACACTTTCATTTTTATTGGGCCACGTTATTCTGGTGGGTAAGAGTTGCTCCTCAAAGCATGAAACAAGCTTACGTGGCCCAATGAAAGGGGAAGTGTTGGCCGGAGAGTGCAAGAGACGAGTGCCCCTAGCACTGCTCATAATTTATTGTTTGACATGACAAAAAAAGCAAGGCAATGAAAGATATAATAATTTTGTTGCATATCACTTTTCACTGATTTAATTACTTATTTTTCTAAATATAACTCCAACAAGCACAATTATATCTATTTAAACCTCAATTTCTTCTAAAGTGATGAACCTAATATGAGAGAATCAAATATAAAAATTGATAGTACCAATAAAATTGAAAGTTCATAATTTATTTAAAATTAAATGTTTGGGCAAAATTTGACATTTAACCTAAGAACAAACCTAATTGCCCCATCAAATCCTTGACATTTGAGTCTTCATATCTTACTCATTTCTAAACCCTTAAAGCATGTAATATATCAAAAGAAAGCCTAGTGATCTATCCACTCAAACCAATTTCATAAAAAGAAAGCTTAGTAAGAAAGCTTAGCATGTTAAATTTTCATATGAAATTATTGTCCAAAAAATAAAAAAAAAATCAAATTAAAACTATTAAAAATGATCAAAGTATGATTCAAATTATACTAAATTGTACCATATTATAAATAAAGACTTGATTGAGAAATGAGACTCTTAAATTCAGGACCCTTCTTTTCTTAGGTTTAATTTTGTATAATCCAAACTGTGCAAGATAGTACAAATATTCCCATTTATAGTAACAATACGAAACATTTCTATAGTAACGATGATAAAAAATCAAAAGCATTTAAGTGAATTATATGTAGTACCTTTTTCCATGAAATCAATCGATCCTAGCCTTAGATTTAGATTTTGCCGATGTAGTACCTCCCTCCAACAAAATTCCTGGCAGAATATTTAATAACAATAATTATTACAAATAGAAACTAATTTTTATATATAGAAAAAATAAAAGTCAAATATTAAGAAAATATCGAGTTAAGTTAAACCTCAAGTTATTATTATTTTTAAACGAGTTCCAACTTCCTAGTCTAGACTATATAAAAAAGCAACGGAAAATATAATAATTTTGTTGCGTATTATCTTTTCATTAATTTGCTTAGCAAAATTTAATGATTGTTCCATTAATTGTTAATATAATTAAATTGTGGCTATAGCCCATGCTAGTATTGTTAAAGCCACACAAACTTTGATATATATATATATATATATAT